GCAAAGTATTAAAAGTGAACATGATAACAAATACAAAACATGTTAGGATCAAACATTAAAGTCCATGTTGAGTTTATATTATACTTATTCTTACACTATTAGTGTAACCTTTTCACTTTAATATAATAGACTTAGCTAAATATAATGAAGAAGAGGAACATAAATAAATAAGATAAGAACATAAATAAGATAAAAGTTAGCTAAATAAAAAAAATAAAATGAAAAGTATAAACAAGAGATTAATGAAAACAAAATTTAAGTATGAAAAACAAGTATTAGAATATAAAAATTGTATGCAAATGGTGCTTCCAACATAAGTGGAAGTGGAGTTGGAATACTATTTATTAGTCTTGAAGAACAAGTATTAAAATATAGTATTTGTGGTAAGTTCCCTACTACCAATAATATAGTAGAATATGAAGCTCTTCTTGTTGGACTATGTCTTGTAGAAGCTTTGAATGCCTATCCTTTCTAAGCTCACAGTGATTCTCGGTTAGTGGTTAGTTAATGCCAAAGAACAAGTGAAGCAAGAGAACCCATTATGCTATCATATCTTCAAAAAGTCATGTCTTATCTTAACATTGAGCACAAAACATTTCATTCATTTGTATTCCTAGATAAGACAGTTAACGAGAAGACCTCGTTTTTAAATTAGCAAGTTCTAATTTTATGGAATTTCTTGTCAATGTTTAGGTAAAAGTCTCAGAGAACCTAATATTGGTAAAGATGATCGAGTAGTTGCTCTCCTCAGTATAACAAAAAGATCTCTATTAGAAAGTATTTGTTGATAAAAGAGCTACCCTCAAACAGAAATGAAGTCATTCATTTAATAGGGCGAGCATTAAGATATTATATAATTAACAAGGTCTTATCAGAAGATCTATCTCGGCTCTTTACTGAAATGTTTTTCCCTAAAGGAGAGCTTTTATATTTTACAAAAAAATACATGAAGGCATATATGGTCTACATACAGACTCCATAGCTCTTGCATCTCAAACAACACGGGCAAAATTTTATTGGTCAACTATACTCTAAGATGTCATAAGCCTAGTAAAGAGGTGTGACAAGTGTTAAAGATTTACTTTAGTTCCTCAATAATGATCTGTATAAATGATAGTTATAACTTCCCCTTGGCCATTTGCATAATAGGAAATGGATAATCTAGATCCATTCTCTAAGGCCATCGACATGAGATAATTTGTCCTAGTAATCATGGACTATTTTACCAAGTAAGTTAAAATAAAAGCTTTAGCAAAGATAACCACCAAAAATTTTTTTTTTCTTTTAGAAAAATATAATATGTCACTTTAGGCTACCTAGAATTTTGATCACTAATAATGAAATGTAATTTGACAATCACAAGATGAGAGAATATTGTTAGAGGCTTCATATAGATCATCATTTCTCTTCAGTATCACACCCTTAGATAAATAGTCAAGCTGAGTTGACTGATATAATTATGCTTAATGGACTTAAAAAAAAGATAAACAAAGTCAAGTCATAATGAGCAAAATTGTTGAGTGAAATCTTATAGGCCTGCATAACAACTCAAAAAACATCTATTGGTGAAACATTATTTCTTCTCACATATAGGACAAAAGCTATGATCCTTGCTGAAATCAGATGTCCAAGCTATCGAGTTGTTCATTATACCTCATAAGGCAATGAATAAGGTCTTAAGACTAACCTCGACTTCCTAAAAGAGTCACTTCTAATAGTTATAGTTAGGAATGAAGTCTATAAGCTTAGAACTACTCAATATCACAACACCAAGGTCAAGAATAGAAGATTTAAATTTAGAGACCTCGTACTTAGAAAATTAGAGGTCATGGGACATAGAGAGAGTAGAGGTAAAATATCTTCAAAATGGGATGATCCTTTTAAAGTTATGCCAATAGTTACTATTTACAGGATATGAAAGGAAATAATCTCTCTCACACCTATCATTCAGACCATCTAAAAATATATCATAATGAATAGGAATGTGTATTTTCATATATGGATATTTTCATTTCTTTATCATTATGTATGGCCTCCAAAATCCTAAGAGATGGTATGTGTTCTCTTCATAGGCACTCTCAAAGGGATGAACATGGTCTCTCTGCATGATATTACTATTTAGCTTCCTTCATAACCCTTTTCTCTTCAACCCAACTACTATTAGAGTGGGCACACATCATAAATATCTAAAAAAAGATAATATAAGTTATCTTTCAGAATAGCATAGAACAAAATTAAATTAAATTAAATTTCTATCTTACCTGAAAAGTCATATGTCTGATAATGGTCAGATGACACTAAAAGCTGGGGTGAATCATTCCTTTTATATCTTAAGGAAAGGTGAGGAGTTTTTCCAATGTTTTCATCATGTCCAACCCACCAGGTCCCAGCGTGGACCTCCCCTGAAGAATAATCTCTATTATCCATTTTTTCTCTTCACTTAAGGTGGGGAAATGAATGGAGGCGAGGTCCGGTTTGAGATTGAAGAATATATCCTCTATATTATATGGTAGAGGAGTTTAACTAAAAGACCTAAGAAATAAGTAAACTACATTTGTAAGAGTAGGACGACTATATAAGAGGGAAATAATCTTCACATCAAAATCTAAATAGATAGAGACTTTCATTCCTTTCCAATGAGAAGTGACCGCTGGAATGACTAAGTTGCAGTTGGCACCTCAGGACCTTCTGATAGGGGACAGCGAAACCCTTTGTTGCCTCTTGATAAACCTCATCAACAAAAAGATTAGTTATATATATATATATATATATACCTCAACAAAAAGATTAGTTATATATATATCTTCAAGAACATCCTCAGCTTAGACTTAGATTGTTGAAATCTTCTCATTGTTAATTTAAATAGAAGACCTTAACATTTCATCTACACTTTAATGATTGGTTTTCTTCAAAAGAAGATTTGTCATTAGAAGAGGGCATAGAAACATGATTAAGTATAAACGGGGTAAACCCACTGCATTCGGATCTAGTGGTCCCAAGTAAAGACCCTGCATAAATAAATAGTTAAGGAATGAAAGGTATTGAAATAATATAAAAAAAACATATGAAAGTAAAATTACTTGAAACGTCATATAGCCCTTTAGGCATACAATTAATGTCATATTCAGTATAAAGGTTATCCAACCTAATACAAACCCTCTTTTTTTTTAGGCCCAAGAATGATTTTTCATTTACACCTGCTAGGGATGTCATACTTAGATATCATAGTGAATGATTAAAATTTCATCTTCACTTTAATGATTGATTTTCTTCAAAAAAAAGAGTTGTCATTAGAAGAGGGCATATAAACGTGATTAAGCATAAATGGGGTAGACCCACTGCATTCGGATCCAGTGGTCCCAAGTAAAGACCCTGCATAAATAAACAGTTAAGGAATGAAAGGTATTGAAATAATAAAAAAATATATATGAAAGTAAAATTACCTGAAACATCATATAGCCCTTTAGGCATACAATTGATGTCATATTCAATATGGAGGTTATCCAACCTAGTACAAAACCCTCTCCTTTTTTGGGCCTAAGAATGATTTTTTATTTACACCGACTAGGGGCATCACACCTAGATATCGTGGTGAATGATTAAAAATTTATCTTGGAAAAAGAACGGATATATGGTATCTTGTTCTTTAATAGAACGATCTTATTTAAGGAGTAGTCATCTGGTATTATGGTC